TATTTCCACAGTGCTTTTTTTCTTCTTAAAAAAATAAAAACTTGGAGGGGTGGGTGTTGTTCCTTTTCTGAGGAAGTGACCAAGTGAGTGAGCCATTCTGGTCAGCAGTGACTCACTTCAAAAGGTATTTGTCAACAATAACAATACAGCACCCTCTTTACAGAGTCTCAGGATAAAAATGAAAAAATTGATTTGACCAGTGAGGTATTAGATAGTTGAAGTTTCAGACCATTGATTCAGTTAAAAGGTTTTCCATTGTTGAAGGAAAGCTTGTAGAATATTTCCTCCTAGGGCAGAGAGGTTAATTTTCCTTCTTATAAATGATACTACAGGAGTGGCCTTCTGAACAACACTGAGCTTATATTTCACAACCTAAAATAAAAAGTGCGGAGGAACATCGGGGTGCTTGAACGGGGGTTCAGGGATAAGAAACTGGGGAAGTATATTTACTTGTCCATTCATTCATTCACTCAGCCATCCCATATCTGTTGGCCCTGCTGTGCTTGCTCTGTCCTGGGTGTCTGGGATGCGCCGGGGAATGAAAAAGCAGCCATCTTCTGACTAGCAGGCTGATTTAGGGAAAGAGAAAGAAGAAACGACTTCTTTATGGGCAACATAATGCTTAGCATTTTAAGAAATATGAATACTCTGGGAGGAGTTTAAATTTTCTCTGAGTGACATGCTGCTGAACCAAATAGCAATTTAAAAGGTGATTACAGAATCGACTTTGGGAAGTAATACCATGCTGAACCTTGGAGTTGAGACTTTTTAAATGAATATATTAAAACCTAAATATTCAAATTCAGTTGTTTTAGGAAAAGACATTTGTGTCAATTTGAAACCAGAAAGAGGAAAAGAAATCATCAAGCACTATCTGCATTTATATTAACAATGATAAAATTTGATTTTTAACCCAAACCCTTTTCCCCAAATGGTGTTCAACGAAAAGTAATCTGAGGATCTCAGAGTAATAGCAGACATTAGCACATGAACGTTCTGGTCGAATTCCTTGTAGATGTGGTGTGAAAGAGCCCTTGATGCGTGCCTGTTAGGCACCCGCGGGTGGTCCTGGGCTGACTGCAGTCTGAGCCGTGTTCTCTGACCCTGGAAGGTAGCATTTCCTTAAAATTCACATCGGCTTCTTTGTCTCAGGTAGCAAAATGTATTCTAAACTGTAACAAGAATCCCCTCTGTCTCTCTGCACACTTCAGTGTAAGCTCTATGTAATTTAAAAAGTATATACAGTCATTCAAGAAATGAGTATGACTAAATGTCCTCTGACTTTGGCCATTTACCTCTTTAAAATTGCTCTTTTTTCTGCCCTTTTTCTTCTAATTTTTTTTAACAAACATCTCTTCATAGTACCACTTCCACCCATTATTGGCAATTTCAAACTCCTTTGGTGACAGTTAAAAGTAAAGCTGCTGCTGACTCCTGGTCTGTGGCGCAAAGATGTGGTCTGTGAGCTCAGAAGTATCACTCCAACGTGGCACTTGCCTTTCCTTTCCCTCTCCATGGGTGTGGGAGGAGAGGGGTGTGCTTCCCGGGATAGTCACTGAACGTTTTCATTTGTTCCAAAAAGTTTAGGAGCCACAGCTGAGGAAAGAAGACAGGAGGAGTTATCTGTAGTGTAATCTAGAATCAGTGGAATAGCAAAGAAGCCATTTCTTTGTAAAATTTTTTTTATAGTCACACACTTGGTTTTCATAAATAGCTCTTCAGGGCTTGGAACAGAATCTGCCTTTTTGATCTGAGGATATTTCATGGCTGAGTTCTTCCTGCTTTTAATTGAAAGTTACACGGTGTATTTAATCTAGCTTTAGTATGTATACATACTTCCTCAGTCTTTTGCTTATTGGATGTGTTTTTAAAAATGGAAATGAGATGAAAACTAATGCCTAAGTGACCTCCATAATTGCCACAAACTCAATTTCTTTGTGTAGTTTGATATTTCTGCTTTTTCCCCAGTATTTTCTTTTTTTGTTTAGAAAGTTTTAATTGACAGTTTTAATAACATTAACATTTCTTGCCCTGTGACATACTCAACAAAAACATGGTGGTAAAACTGTTTAGAATTTATATTCTAGCCTGTGTTTGGACATGTACATATATGACAATACAAGTATAACACATTTCAACACCAATTTAGCAAATGATTCATGTGCCTTTCTTTCCTCCTCTAGAAAGACTGTGAAGATTTTAAGAGAGAAATTCAGGAGTTGATAGGCTAATGTAACCACAGTTCTAAGAAACTGAAGATACATAGGAGTGCCTTTGTGGCTTATAGTAGGACATAGAAAATTGCAATTTTTATTGTTAAGTTTTGTTCTCTTCCCCTTCTTTTCACATCAGTATGATAGTCTTTCTGTGTGGTGGCTTGGAACATGGCAGCTGTAACTTCCATTATTCACTCCATTCAGGGTATTAATATGTAGGTGTGATTCAGAGAGTCAGCAGGAACCGCCAAGCATACTTGTAACTATTCGAAGTCACACAGTCCTCTTCTGAGGCACCAGCCTGGGGTTAGGACATTGCGCTTGTTCAAGGTTGTGTGGAAGGGAGCCAGAACCGCAGGTGGGGCTCCTGGGTCTGGAGTCTGGGAATCCAGGACTGCGGTTTGTGGTGGCCCTTCTCAGAGGGCTTTGCTGTGTCCTGGCCAGGGCATCTGTGGGCATGGGCTATGTGGAAGTGGTAAGAAGCAGGCCTTCTTCTATCTGGTAGCAGTAGAAGGGGGGTCCTCTTCAAATCCCTGTAGATTGGGATCTACAGGTAAGGCTTAATCCTTTCTAGTATCTCTTATCATTTCATGTGCTTCCACATTTGCCTGGGCCCCCTAGCACTTTGTGCTGCTTATGGAACTCCTCATTCCGTGCCTTATTCTATGGGTATATAAAGCTTGTTTCCTTGAGGCCTGAGGTGGTACCTAACTTCCCTTTGCATTTGCCCTACTGCCACCTGTGTCCACCTCAAATGGAATCAATTGGATGTAAATCAATCTTGTAGACACAGGCAGTGAATTACCCCATGGCTGGCATGGATTGCTGAGACTAGATTACATCCATTCAAGAGTTTTGAAGGAACCTTAAGGATGAAATTGCAGACCTCTTGGCTCTTGTTTTGCCTTTTATAAATAGCCGCTGTTTTACACGCTTGGTAGGTTGCCAGCACAGAGCGTGGAGTGTTGGAAAGCAAAGTGGCCCAGTCACCCCGAGGTGCAGGTTGTGTGGAGCCCTTTCGTGACCAGCTAGGTAGTCCCACTAAGCCTCCTGGACCTCAGGCTGCTCATCAAGATTTGCTTACGGCTGTCCTTGTGCAAAGCCTCCGATGATTGTAGGTGTCATCGTTAATCCTGACATACCGGACCAAAAAGATTCACTTTAAAACAATCCCACGACATCATTAATTTAGTCATTCTTTGCTTCCTTGAATGTTAATGTCATAGAGATTGGATTTTGTTTTCTTCCCCTCAGAGATGCTGCTCTTGTTGCTGCTATTCAGTTGGACTTGAGCGACAGACTCAGTCTCCTCTGCTGAGGGTGACAGCTCAGACTGTGGTCACATCTCTTATCCTTAGCTTAGAGTTTAGGCTGCCTGGAGCTTGCCCTGCACATGTGAGGTTCAGGGGACAGCCCAGAGACGTGGTCCCAGTGTATACTCCGATTTTGGGCTCCCGCCTTTCCCTTTCCATGGTTTCTCCTCCCCATTTTAGCTGCTGATCAGGTTGCCCTGAGCTGTGTTCTGGTTCTTGTTTCAGCAGCTCCATGTGGTTTAGGGGAAGTGCACCCAACATCGTTTCCTTTTCCCAAGGGTCTCTCCCTGCTTTTGGTCACTCTCCAGTGCCTCGAGGTAGTTGTGTTTGTAGATTTAGTGTGTGGCAGGGCTGGTCCAATAGGAGCCACTCAGACACACCTGAAGTGGAAGTTCCATTTGTTTACTTTCTAAATCCAGGACCATTTATTTGCATTGGTTGTGTTACCAAGCTTACATTTGGGATGTTTTCGCAAGAACAAACAGGAAAATAGGGATGGGGCAGCAGTCTTTTATTTTTCCTGAGAGTGTGCTCTGCCAATAACCATAGTGACTAGTGTTGATGAGTAGGGCCAGCATCCCTGAACCTAGATGACCCACGTTAGAGACCTCCAAGACAAATATCCTGAGGCGTTATCATGAGTAGGAACATTGTTGACCTCAAACTCCCATGTGAGCATTCACCCTGGTGAGCTGGCTGGACATGTTTGGGCTGCAGGAATTCGTTTTGCTTAGCTGGATGTTGGCTTGGCCCAACTTGCCTGCTGCATGCTTCTTTTCCACAAGATTTCTGCTCTGCCCTCTAAGGTATTGCGGGGAGTGGGGAGGGTTGGTTTGCAGTGAGAAGAGGGCCTTGGCCACCCTCGGAAGCAGGTGGTACTGAGCCATCTTACCACATTAGCCAGTGACATTCCTCCAGGGGGGCATGACCCAGAAAGCCTAGAAGGACAGAGCCAACAGGGAGCTGTGGCCAGTTCCCAGCTATTTATAATCTCTTCTCCCCTCCCAGCCACTGTTTATTTTTAAAGACTGAAGTCTGACAGGAGGCGGCATTGGGCTCCCCCTGCAGGTTTTAGTGTGCCACAGGTAGCAGTTTTTAAAAAAGTGTTGCTGCTGTATCTGCCAGTATTTACATTAATGTACAGATTAAAATGAAGATTTTTGAAATGATGTGGACTGACTTTATATCCTGTCTTTTTGGGCTGGATTTGGATTATTAGAAATGGCCAAGCGACTGCTTGGTACAGTAGCCTCTGGGTCTGTGGGCGTATCATTACTTGCCATTAAAATAGACAATAACTGTGATCAGAGACTTTCCTTCACAGAATTCAAATGTTTTCAAATGACGACATTTCTAGAGCTGATTTAACGGGTATGAAGAAGGCTGCTGTGTTGGCATTGGAGAGAATGGTTAAGAAATTAAATGTCACTCAAGTAACCTAGTAATTTTATTTTCTTCTTCTGTATTTCAGGGTTTCGAAAAAACGATGAAATGAAAGCTATGGATGTTTTGCCAATTTTAAAGGAAAAAGTTGCATACCTTTCAGGTAAAGTTTAACTTTCTAACCTGCTTTATTGGCCCTCTGACTACTTCTAATACAGTGTCAGAAACACTAACCTGGCCCTCCTGCCCCAGCCACAGAAGCGTGGGTGTCCTGATGGATTTTTACCTGCTTTGTTCTTGCGGCATTTTCCTGAGAAATTAGTGCCCAAGCCATTTCTTCTAGCTGGCAGGCCCATTTTAAGTCAGATCTGGGGATTGAAATGTTTGTGTCTGTCATTCTGCAAACATGTGGCTCTTTTGCCCCGATCAGTTAGGTAAAACAAGGGATTTTTTAAAAGTCTGTCATCTCTGCAGAAGTGGTGGGAATGTGACCGTATGTCGATGTGTCCTGAATTTTTTACCTTGGTTTCTTGTACTTGGTAGCTACCTGTTGCCTCCTCTTTGGGAGGGGAGGAAACCCATGTATCCATGACCTCTCTGGTCCTGCAGTTCCTACAGCCCTCGTCGTGTGCTGTGAAAGCCCTGGTCGTCTTAACCAGCTGGGTCCTCCACTTATCTGTAGAACCCTGTCCTTGGGGCACCTGGCCCTGCTGCAACGTGGTGACAGTCTGTGCCAGTCCTTCAGGCTTTGGGGCACTTGACTGCCCTCCCTTCTGCACATAGAGGCGTCAGCTTTAGGGCTTTTGGGGGGTTGTCTTCCTCCTACATGGGGGCTCCCTCCTACATGAACAAACAGCCATTGGGTATTACACCTTTTCAGCACCAATTTACAAAACAAAGGTTTGCAAGATTTTTCTGCTCTGTTTTACAAGAAAGTAAATCTGGAGATGGTCACATGCTTTCAGCCAGCCTTCCTGGATGTGTTTCCCTTGATAACTGTTTATCTCTTCAAACAGGCCTACTATGCTGATCCGAGGCTTCCTCTTGAGCACATCTTATTTTGAATTGGTGGTAACCCTGCTGGCTGGTTTTATATGGTGTGTGTGTCCTTTTGGTCCATGGGACTCGCGTATACTTAGGATTCAGCTTCCTGTGGTGTTGCTGTCACTCTTACCTCGCTTTCGGTCTAGCAGTGTTGTTTGGCTCCTGTCGGACATTGTTGGATGGTTTTGCTAAAGTGAATCTAATGCATAATGCATTTGAAGGTTAACAGAAAATTATATGAAGTTCATGAAAACAAGAAGGTACTTTAGATCGATGGAGACACACGGTTAAAAAATGAAAAAGCAAACAACTCTTGGCTTATAATTTGGTTAAAAGTAGCTTCTGTGGTTTTCTAATCATTTACTGACAAACTGCGTAATATGGGCTCATGCCAGTTTTGTGAACTCCTCCTGACTTTGTTAAGCTACAGTTAATAGAATGAAAAGACTCTACTGATAAATATTAAAGGCATCAGTAAGAAAGGCTTAAAGAAACCTGATTGCCGCATGTGCATCAGTTTTTATTTTTAAGTTTGAATTTGTGATGAGAGCACTTGTTCCTTCTGTTCCTTCTTTGGTTCCTAGTCCTCTAGTTCCTGAACTGTCTTCTTTTGTCAAGCCCCTGGAGATCAGCATGTAACACTTACAAAGTTAAGATAGGTGATTTTTATTTGTATTCATTACTTTATTAGGCATTTAATACAGAATACATTATTAGATGACATTTTTCATCTAAGTTCCTGTCAAAACTAAAACTCTTTCCCTTGTAATGAACTGAAGAAATGAAATCATTAGTCTTTTAGAGTTCTGTCGTGAATCGTTGCTAAAACCTTAAATTCTGCAGGGATAATTATATGTGGGTGTCTTTAGTGGGGAGGGAAGTTCTGCATTGCAAGAACTTCATATGGAACTGTGTTAGGAGAGCCGGTAGGGCTGGTGTGAACAAGGTGAAGTGAGGAGGTGCTACCTGTACAGATTTGTAGTGTCGTGCTTCCTAACTTAGGACCAGAAGTGGCAGGTGGCATTAGTGTGAGCTGACTGCAGGTTGCTCTAGGCTTACTGTAAAGGGAAATGAAAAAACAAAACCCCATAAAATTAAGAAAAATTGATTATTTGTGTAGCAGAATGTTTGGGGGGAAAAGTTGCAAAGAACGAGTTAACTTTTAAAAAATTTCACCTGCTGACCCATTTTTTTCTTTCTTACTGAGAAATAATTCACATAAAATCCACCTTTTTTATAATATACAATTCAGTGAATCTTAGTGTAGTTACCAGGTTGTGCAACTATCATCACAGTCTAATGACAGATCACTTCTACAAACCCCCAAAGAACACCATGCCCAGTTCCCCGTTTCCCTACCCCCTAGCACTGGTAATTGCTTATCTTTCTGCTAAGACCCCATTTTTTAAAATATTAGGGGATATTATGGTACCTTTGTTAAAGTTCTCCATGTGAGTGGCTTTTAGTAAATTAAATCTAAGCAGAATAGCCAAGGCTTTCCAAAAAAGCAGGCCAAGAAATCAGTGATTCCATGAATTACTTGTTAGGTCCTGATCTAAAAAACCAGTGAGGATTCCTTGTACACGAACATTTCTGATCTTCAGTGTCATCTCCAGGTACTCTCTAAAATGTAATCCTTATTGCGCTTAAGTAAGAGAGCGAAATACTACTTTCTCCATTCAGAGTAGTATTAAATGAGGTTAGAGAACATATCTAAATTCAGGCTTGAAGTCAGAAGGAGGGCACTAAAACAAATGTCCTGTAGTGTCTGCTTAATAGTATGTGTAGTTTATGTTTATTGTATATACACTTAATGCATTATATATATTTACTATAGTATATATTATGTTTTACTATACACACACACACATATACTTATCCATATCTACTCTGTATGATATCCTATATATAATTCCTACAACCACGTGTGGTTCCTACACTGCTAGGATTTGGGCCTTAAAAAAAAATCACAGACAACTACCAGAATTAAGAACACTCCCTCCACCCTTTTCTTAATCATGAAACATTTCAACATCCCACATAGGAAAGCATAGTATAATGAATTTCTGTGAACCCCATGGTACACGTCAATGATTTTGCTTCGTCTATGTTCCTAGTCACTCTTCCCCTCCCCTCACTGTGGATAATTTTGAAGTAAATTATAGATGTCATATAATTTTATTTATAAAAATTTAGTTGTCTAAAAGATAAGCTTAAAAAATCTACACTTCCGTTAACAGGCCTGAAATTAAGTGGTGATTTTTAAATATTAAAAAAAGCCAATTAATATTCAAATTTCTCTACTTCTTGTATAATGTGTTTTTTATAGGACACATATTGCAATTAGTTGATATGTCTGACATCGTTTTTAATTTATAGGTTTTATCTCATTTTTTTAAAGATTTTATTTCTTTATTTTTAGAGGGGGGGAAGGGAAGGAGAAAGAGACGGAGAGAAACATCAATGTGTGGTATCCTCTCGAGCACCCTCCACTGGGGACCTGGCCTGCAATGCAGGCATGTGCCCTGACTGGGAATCAAACTGGTGACCCTTTGGTTCTTAGGCCAGTGCTCAATCCATAGAGCCACACCAGCTCCTTCTTATTATTTTTGTCTTACCACTTTATGTTTATTAGGTGAGGAAGCCAGGTGTTTTCCTATACATTTTCCTACATTTTATTAGATTTCACTGGTTGTATCCCTCGGTGCTCATTTAACATGTTCCCCTTTCCCTGTATTTCTTGTAAACTAGGAGCTAAATCTTGGGGTTTGATTAGACTTAGCTTAGGCTTTGCAGGGAAGGAGGCAAAAATCCTTCATGGGTGACATTGGGTAGTTCTCCTGGGAGTTTTATTGGGAGAGTCTGGTTAAGCATCTATTGATGATCATTGCTACTATCTAGTATTTTACTAGGTTTGCAAAATGCTAACATTCTAATTATATCCTTTCTTCTTCATTTAGCAACTTGGATATTCCATAGAGAGAAACATCCCTCAGTTTCTTGCTTACCCTGAAAACACAGTTCCTACAGGAAAAGCAGTATAAAGGATTGCTTCTCATCCTTTACCAGTGTTCAGATTAATGAAGAATGATCAGTTGACATTTTAGACTAATAAAAAAAAGTTGAAAGTTTTTTAAATACCATTTCGAGCTCATGATTTTAAATACATTTGATGTGTTTTAATTCACTGTGCATTTCTTTTTCTTTTAATGAAGTTAACATGTTTGCATCTTTGGACAGTGGGAGCCTCTTTAGATTGGCTCCTGAATTCATGTACCAGAGTAATTAATACACCTTCTCTCTTTGCTGCTGTGACCAAGTGTTTCATGCCCAGTTTGTCCGTGTCCTGCTCCACATGCGCAGTCAGCCGTTTTTCTAAAGTCCCCTGGTTTGTGGGGAATGGAGCCGGGTGCTAGGGAAGCTCGCTGCTCCTGACGAGGCTCTTGTGTCTGTGTCTCTTCAGTGGACACATCGAGGAGGGAGGGAGAGAGAGAGAGATATTTTTTATTTTCCCAATGAGTTAAGTTGTCCATATTAAAATTTCCAATTTATATTTCAGATTGCAGATATTTTACTTTTCTTTGATTATGTACGTATATCTCCTTTCCTTATGTTAAAAACTTCAGCTCCTACTCTCATCGTCATAATTGCCCATTTACACTGTAATACTGATGTCACTGCCACGGTGTGACTGGCCTCTGTTGTTTTGTTGTCCGAGGAGCATGTGCCACCAGCAAGGTATTGTCCTATTTCTGCATTTCAAAGTCACATAAAACAGTTCCTTTCTCTGTGGATCAAATCCCTTCCAACTTGAAACTCAGTAGCATTTGTTCCATTTTGCTTTATGTTTTTAAGGCTTTAGAAAAAAACCCAGCCACCTAATCTGGCTTCCGTATTAAGTACAATGTGTACATCACTCCAAGGTTAAAAACTAAACAAATTTAAAGATCAGATGTAGTTAAATCTAGTTTCTCTCTTTAACTCTTTCACCCTGCACCCTGCCTCCCCCATAGGAAACATTTTAGTCTTTGTTTTATATATTTTTTGTTTATTTCCTCTACTTTTAAAATAAGAGTATTCTCCCTGCCTGTGCATCCATACGTCTAGTCTCACATCCCCCCCTTAAGAAACAGCAGTTATGATGCATCATTTTCTGTGCCCCACTTGTTTCCCTTTAAACAGTGTTCTAGAAAGCAGAACAGACAGAGAGTCCTCATTTCATTTACAGTTGTGTGTAACTGTCCTGTGGGTATGTACACCACAGTTTATTCAGTGACTTGCCTATGAATGGACTTTGGGTAATGTTTTTAGATTAGCTTTTTGGGGGCAAGGTGAACATTGACCTTTTCAAGTGGAGGTATTGACAGGAAGGTGGGATTTGATTGCTCAGAAGTTTGCTGTTAGTATTGTGACAACTGACCTTAATTCCTGTTGTTCCAGTTTTGCAGAGTTCTGTATTTCATGGAAAGGGAAGGGTATATCCCCCATCTATCTCGTATATTCTTGTTAGTGTCTATTATAGCCTGAGTCCTTAGTGGCTGGCTGGAAGGCCAGGTCCTGTCAGAGGCCTTCCCAGAAGTCTAGAGACCCCTTAGAGTCTTCGTTAGAAATAGTCTGAAAGCCAGTTCCTGGTTCTCAGGACCGGGCAGGAAGAGGTGGGCCTGTGGAGGCGCAGGGCTGGCTAGCTGTCGGCTTCGGCTGCCCCTGGAGCGGGGGCCCAGTGGACACCCTTTTAACAGAGCTTCATTACCTAAGAGACTGAGAGCTTATAGACATAAATTTTCTTTTATAAACCTTGTCTTTTCAGAGCTTTTCACAGTCCTGAGTTAGAGTATTCCTCAGGGAGGCATCTAGTTTTCGGTGGTATTCTAACCCAGAAATTCAAATAAGGCCCATACAGAGGAAAATCCAATTGGTTCATTAAAATTTACATTGTACTTCTCAAACTAAGTATGTCTTTAAGAGAAGTCCATTCTCATTGGGTGAAAGGTGAGTTCTTAATTTATTTAAAGATAAAGGGGCAACTCTGAATCTAGCCACTTCTGGTCATTCTGGGCCATACTGCTCAAGAGACTTAAGTCCTCTTGAGGGGTTTTTTGCCTTTTAGAAGCGGGAAATGAGTGTCAGTGGGTTTAGGGAAGCAATTGTCACACAGACATTTGTAGCTATAATGTGGTACCTTTTCAGCCTCCTTTCTGATATTAAAATAAACCTCAGTTTATTTAGCATCTGTTTCCTCCTATAAAAATATTCAGATATTTCCATTTTTAACTTTCTGATACATGATGGTAGGTACAGTCAGGCCTCTGTACTTGTTGGCTGCAGACCTTGTCAAACCTGGTATTTGTCGCATTTGAGCAGAAAAAAATGTTTCAGCACTTGGTGCTTGCTTGCTCAGGACACATTGCGCTTCTTAGAACTTGTATGAGTCACGACACTGAGCCGCAAGAGAAAATGCTTCATGACTCGCTACTTACCGGGTTTGGAGTTCTGAAATGAATTAATGATGAGTACTGAGGTACCACTGTGTTTATTAATTAACTTTGTGTGGAATATAGAAGAAGAATCCATTCATACAGCAGACATTTATTGAGCACCTTTAATGTGCCTGTCCGTCTCTCACTAGGCACTGAGAGGATATACTGATGTCAGTCAATGAGCAAGATGCCTTCCTCCATAGGCTTCCATTCTTGTTGGGGAGAGAGACCCACCCCCCCCCGCCCCCCTCCCCGCAGAATGTGTAAGTTGTATAGCTGACTACAAGGTGATAGGTGCCTTCCAGAAACAATGGGGAGAGAAAGAGCAGAGAGGATGTGGTTTTTCTAATACTTGAAAATAAAACAGTGTCCTCTTTGTTTTCTTTTGTTTTTTTGACTAACGCACATTTGGATAGGCTGATAATCCCTCATGAGCTGTTGGGTTTTGATTACGGACATGGAGAGGTCCAGAGACTGTAAAACTCTCCTGTGTGGATATCCTGTGACGTCAGTAGGTGCAGGAAATGGGTTTCCTGCCCTTTTCTTTTTGTTGTCCACGCTAAGGTGGCTGAGTTTCCTGTCTATAAAATGGGACTGACATCTGTCCCACCTGCCTTACCATGAGGCTGTAGGTTAACATCAGATACATATTAGTATATCTAGTAGATGATGTTTTTATAAGCTACATACAGCATTTTAATAATTATTATATTTCTTCAGGATGAGAACTTGGAAGTTGTAACTTTTCTGCTTCATAACCTAGACAGTATTTTCAGTTGGGCTCCCTCTCTGACATTTGCAAACAAGTTATATCTTGGTGCCTACCATCTAAACAGACATCTGTGGCATTGCTTTTAAGCTCCTTGAGGCTCAGAGACCATGTACCTCTGAACCAATATTACATTTCATTAGTTCTACTCTATTTTAACTTCACTGGAAGGTCAGCAGATGGGTGGTTTTGGCACCTGCCTGTCACACCACAGATGGGAAAATACACCCCCGTGCAGGGAGGTTAGCAAGTGAGCACAAAATTTTGAATTAAATAGAGAATATGCAATTTTTATTTAAGTCTTTAAAATCATAAGTGATTTTTGATGAAGTTTTGAAACTACCCTAGGGAGTTTTCTGAAGCTCCATTTTGGGGAAAAAGGAAAAGACACATTGAATATTCTCCTCTATTTTGAAATTCAAGTTTCGGTTGAAATACGGCTTTTTTAAGAGACAAATGGGAGCCTCTTTGGAGAGGTGAGCTTGCTGGTAAGTCTCAGGGGACTCCTCACCAGTGCCCCCAGGTTGGGGAAAATCTTAGCTGAGAGGTGAAGCAGTACAGCGAAGCCGTCAGTACCTCTGTACACACTTATGTTTAGTCCTCAGCCCCGGAGCGACCAGAATGGCCGTGCGCAGAGCGCACGCCTGTCACCCTCCCCGTGACCATCTCTGAAGGGCAGATTCTGGATTCTGCCTTTCGCACCGTGGTCGACCCTGCTTTGTTTGCCTTGGGAGACACGACCCAGAGAGAGGACAGCTGAACGTGGTTCCTGGGCATTTCCTCTCCCTACAGAATCAAGCAATATGTTTCATTTAAAAATTCAGAAGGGTAGTTCAGGAAGATGTTAGCTACAATTCTCTTTAACAAGAGGGGGTGAATGTCTAAATCTAAATACCATACTATATTTTTAAAAACTCAAGTTTCTGTAATATGTGTTGAACTGTAAATTTTTTTATTAAGAATATTGATTCCGCTTTGAAAAGAATGAAAGATGTTAGGGAATAAAAATATTAAAATTGTTTCCTGTTTTCTTATATTGGAGACAAGAGGTATGCCAGAAAACTAGAGCCATTGATATTACCCTAAAAATACTATCTGATGTTTTAGACGATTACTTCGTGATGACATTCAGTTCATTCTAACAGTACTGCTTCTCCCTTTCAATAGTACTTTTCATTCATAAAAGAGGCCCAGGTAGGAGCTCATCGTTTAGTTGTCCTTATGACATCTTTACTACTGTAGAAAGGACTAAAACTGTTAGTTTGAAAAATTATGTAAGTTCTTGTCAGGGCAAAGGACCCAGCTGTAACCACAGCAGCAGAGTCCAGTACCTTGAATTATGCAGCTGGAGTGACAGAGCCTCCTAACGGGGTGATTGCTGTGATCAGGTCGGGACCGCTGGGTGCCATGCATAGCATGTGTTGGTAGCTATGATTTAGTGCTGTTCCCATTTAATACCAGAATTGTTGGATTTATATATAATTTAACACTTCTCTGGACTGTGTAACTGAACAGTACATGTGGTTTGTTTTAAATATTCAGAATTAAGTTTATTCCTGGTTAGGGAGAGTGTTAATCATTCCAGGAAATTGTAAATGGCCATATTCGTAAAACATATTTTTAAAATAACATCTGCTGAATAGATTCTTGGCCTTTTTAAAAGGAAAGAATCTGGTTTTCTGTTGTTAGTTTGGTTGCTTTTTGATCTTACCTATGCTGATGAGGTAAGTAATTAAGATGAGAAAATAATTAAGAGTTGTATATTGTGACTTGAGTTTTGAGATCTTAGTGTTGTACTTCTGAAGAGAGATGACCAGAGTTATAAAATTAAATGAAGGATACACTTGGGAAGGTTCAGTTTTTTAAAACCCTGATGGAAGTAATAAAATATGTATATGACAATTCCATGAAAAATTGTCAGTGGTACCAGCAGACTTCATTAGAATCGTGTCTATGTTAATATTTCTGTGCATCTAAAAAAGGCCAATCATCTTGAGATTTGTACTTAGTATGTGATGTAACTTTTCTGATTTAGTTCTAATTGACAGTTCCTGCCACAAAGCTTTCCCCTACCCGCTGAGCCTGTTTTTGTGTATGTGGCTTTGTATGAGAGCTTGCTGACCATTGGGGTTGGGTACTGCCCTTGAGAGGGGAAGCTGCCCTAGATCCAGATTATATAAATTTGTCATCAGCATGAAGTTTGAAGAACATTCCTGTCTTTCAAGGCTTAAAACCCAGCTTGGGTGGTAGCAAAAAGAGAGTTTAAAGTGCAGTGTGGGGCAGGAGAGGAGGGGAAAGTGCAGAGGAAAAGGAGAGCTGGGCGGTAGGTGGAGGGGGTTGGCGGTTTAAGGCTCGTGACACGTGTGTGTGTGAAAACTTTTCTCTCTGCAAACGTAAAAGTGAAGAAAGGAGGAAACGCTTTGGAAAAAAAGGACAAGGCCTTCTGCGGTATGTTCCAGGTGGTGTGCAGAACTCACGCTTTTCCTGAGTCCCAGGAAGGGGGTGCAGCCTGGCCATGTCCCACTGAAAGGGGGACGGTGGCCTTACGCACAGTCCTTTCTGGCCATGCAGATGTTGGACGTACAGCTCTGTGTGAGTGGATGGGTGATGCCGCTGGACTTGGTGGCATGTTAATGCCCTGTCTTCCCTTGTTTTTGTCTAAGTGTGCTCCAAATGCTTGTTTTTCAGGGGGCAGAGATAAACGTGGAGGTCCCATTTTAACCTTTCCAGCCCGCAGCAATCATGACAGAATACGACAGGAGGATCTTAGGAGACTCATTTCCTACCTAGCCTGTATCCCTAGGTAAGTTTTGGGGCATTGGGGGCTTCTCCTTATTTTCACTGTCCTAAGGTAGCACCGTGCTTTTTAGAAAATAACTAAACCCCAGCTTCAATTGCAAGCGGACAAAGTAGTGCAAAATTAAAGCCATGATCTTTCTCCTCATTTCCACTTTGTGACCATTCCCTCTTGCTTACAGCACTTCTGGGTGCGGGGACGGGGAGGTACATGGTTTGAGTGAAGAGCTTTTTGTGCGATGGTGGGTAGGGATGCTCACAGGCGAGGTGTTGGGACGGGTTCCTGAGGCAGAAGTGAAGGAGGCTGTGGTTGATGGTCCTGATCCCAGACACCTGCCCTGGAAGCCGGACAGAGAGTGCTGTTTGTAATGCTGTGCTTCTGTCTTCCTGCTGAGCTGCGGTTCCTTACAAGTATCCTCTTGGTTTATAGCATGAAGTTTGTGCGGCATTAAAAATCCTTCCCAACTAATATGACGGGACATCAAGTTTGGGAACCCCCATGCAATCCAAGACACCACTCGTGGTAGTCAGGGAGATTTTTAGTTTATTGCTAAAGAACACCAAGAATAGGCAAAGCTTTATTTTCTGGAGAGCCCTGAAGTGAAGTGAGGCATGATTGATAAGAATGGCCTGAGTGTATACTTGAGCAATTTAGAATCTTTGTTTCTTCTCTGATTGAGGTTTTTACAGCACTGTTAGCTGACAACCAGGGAAAGAAATTCCCCACTACATTAACATCCCCATTTAATTGTTCAGGTTACTTTTTGGAAAATAGAATACTACTGTGATGTCATCCAAGGATACAGCCACATTTGAAAGAAGAGATTATTGCGTGCTGTGGGTTGGAGGATACTTCCCTCTGAAGAAAAGGAAATCTTTACTCTAGAAAAGCATGTGGTAAAGGAGGGCATTTTCTAAGCAACTAAATTAGGACATGTTAAAAAAAAAAACCTAACTTGGTCCAAATAGAGGCTAAATTAGATGGTAACTTTAAGGAACATGCTATACAAGAGAGTAATTAATAAAGGATGATCAATAGCAACATCATAGGTTCTGAAGGTTTAGGTGAATGCACTAGATCCTCCCCAGCACAAGGTTGGTGACACCAGCCAGGGATGACAGCTGAGCCCATTTGTAACCCTTCCTTGCTGTGGCTGATGAGGTGGACTGTCTGGGTTTTCTGTGTGGGGTCCTTTATGAGAGAACTATCACTTGGTATCATTAGTAACAAAGGGGTAGCATCCCACTTACACATACAGAAAATATTTCCCCTTTCTTCTTATCCTGGTGTTTTCTTGAACTGCTGAACTGTCGAAATCAAAAAGTTGGAAAGGGTTTTAGAAGTTACGTACGACTCACTATCCCTTCTAAATGACAATATAGTTGAGAGCGGCCATTTACTGAGTTCTTAGGTGCCAGGTACTGTGCTAATGATTCGAAAAGGAAGTAGAGCAATACAAAGGACAATTGTCAAAAAAAAAAATTCTGACCTAGCAAAATGATAGTTGTCATAGAGTTTAATGAAAAACAACTTGAATTTGGTATCATCCAGGTGATTTTTTTAAATTACATAATTCAGTTGGTATATGTAACTTTGGCAACTTGCTTTCTAGTTTTCGAGTCTGTTTTCACTGTGAATGTAAAAAGTTACTTTTCATTTCATTCACATTAAGTCCTGGTGGCTTGGGGCTTCTCACTGTCCTCACTGCTCTAAGATGTGGCGCTGTGCTGTCTAGAAAACAGCTAAACCCCAGCCTGAATTCTAAGCAGTAGTAGTAAGACTATTATCACAAAATTTATTCAGGTATATTTTGGATCACCTGGACAACTCACTTAAAAAAACACACACACAAACACACAAAACTTAGTCATTGGAAAATTCTGAGCATACACAAAAGTAGACAGAATAGTGTAGCAAACATCATGTACCTGTCATCTACCTTCAACAGTTAACCAAGTTTTGCAAGTCTTGCTTTTCTCTAATTTCCCCCTGGAATATTTTGTAACAAATCCCAAACATTATATTCTTTTGCTCATAAACCCTTAAGTGCATAGACTGACCATCCAACTACCCAGCACAGTCGCTTCATTGCCTAGATTTGCTTTTATATTTTCAGTTCCAAGCGACAAGAAATGCCATTCGCTTGTCCTTGGTTAATGAGCAGATGGACAGGTAGACATAACATGGAAGTGATGCATTTGCCCAGTGAGAATGGAGGAAAATTTCATGGCGGCCCAAATGGACAGCAGTGGCAATGAAATGAGTTCTCTCTGGGTCCACCCGGGGTCCCACAGGGATCCAAAAAGAAATGCGCTCCCTCTGGTGAGCACTGCCTTGTTTTAGCCAAACAATAGGATCGATAAAAACCATCAGCGAATTAATGGTGTGTGAACTTTCTGGACTTGGGGGTGTGCTTGTAATCTCAGAGTGGTGTAAGCAGCCCTGAGGGTCTGTGAGAGTCCCCAAAACGTTTTGCGATGTGAAGGCAGCCTCTGGCGGCGCCCCAGCCAGCCGGGCCCAGGGCTGCATGTTCCGGACTGTGGAGAAGTGTGCCATCCTAGAAAGCAAGCATAGAGCCACACTGTCTGTGACCTGGCACGAGCTACTTAATTACTTTTATCCGTTTTCTGATCTACAAAATGTGATGCTAATCGGTTCTTTTTTGGATCATTGTGAGTATTGAGTAAGATGATTTATGTGCACGCCCAACGCGGTGCCTCAGGTACAGTAGTTGCCTCAGAATTAGTGTAGCAGTTTCCATCTTTCATATTTGTTCTTTTCCGTTCCTTCAATTATTTTCTTTTTGACATGTGTTCTAGAGCCAGGTCATGTTGTTTTTCTTCTGCATGGCCTGTAGATTGTGCCTCTGAGAATGTGGCCCTCCAGATTACACACATGTGATCTGAGACAGGAGAGTCGTTCAGGCTTATTACTTGGGCCACCTTCCATTCCCCTCCCCCTCCTTTAAAAAAAAAGGAGTAATGAAGCGATTTTCATAGAATTCACATGCAAGGAAACTTCCCATTAAGTGTGGGCAGGAGAGTCACGTGGTGGCAGGACTTCTTACTGGTGTCATGGGGGTTCTCACACAGCGATAAAAACAACAGCGGCCTTGGTACTTCTCTGGGTGTTTACTGTTCTTACTATGTTCCAGAACACTAAAGTGGGTCGACCTCTCTGACTCTCCTTGGTCACTAATGAAGCAATGTGGAGACTTCTAATGGGTTCATTTATGAACTGTCATATAAAAAGGGGCTTTCAAGGAAGTGAAGAAAGTAGTTTCTCTTTCTTGGAGACTGGCATTGAGGAGAGACCTAAAGTTTCTGTATCTCACAGATAAAACGAGGGTCTTAGACAAAACTGCCAATCAAACTGCTTCCTAAGACACAGTATCCAATGTGCTCCTTACCAAGCATTTGTGGCGAAGGAATAGCTGTAGTCCACCTCTTGTTGCCAACTGCATGTGTTCCTTAGCTGCTCACGAGCAGAACTGGGTTCCAGAAGGTTTCCTAATCATGACTGACTTTGAACTTGGTAAAGACAGATGGATTGAAAGTATGTGCACTCCCAGCCCAGCGCATGCACAGTTTTCATTTCTTGGAAAGTCATTGGGTGCTAACAGTTTGATTGTGGAGGAAGGTGAATAGTTAATCCTTCTGTAAACTGTGCAAGCTCAGGGTGCCTTTTGGCTGTGTCCTTCTTCAGCTTGTTCCTCTTGTTAAGACTGGAGTTATTCAGGATTCTCTTTAAGCCCCTTTCAAGTGCAGGGGCTTTGTAGTTCCATGCACATACTCTGTAGGCTGTGTGAAGAAGAAGAGCGGCTGCCAGAGAATTTGTCTTGATATAGCGAAGACTGATGTTTAAAGTGCAGTCTACCAAACAGCAACTAATAAAACAGTAAGACACACTGCGAGGGTTATGTAGTGTCCTGCCCTTGTGTGGGAGCAGAGCCTGGGAGCCTGGACAGAGGACAAGGCTTCGTCCTGCTCAGGCTGGTCTTGCCCCCGGGGCTTCAGAGCCCTGACGTCTCTCCTGAATGGAATCTTGCAACCCTGCGAACCCTGTTAGAGCCCAAGGAGGTCCAGAACTCTTAAATGCAGTGACTTGGGAGATTTTCAGACATTTCCGGATGCCCTGTTTGCCTCTAGGATTTGTGAAGACGGCCTTTGGTGTTGGCTGGGTTGTGGCCCAGGACCTACATGAGACCCTGAGTCGGGGTAGCATGAGGAGTGTGTGAGCTGAATGGTAACGCCTTTCAAGCTCCTAGTCATACAGGACTAGGTGACTGAAGTCAGTCAGATCATTCCTACAGTTTTCCACATTTGACTGAGAAGCTAGGCTGCCAGATCCACCCATTTTCTCTTTATGGCTTTCAACACCATGTTCCTCAGATTGTGAGCCACCATCTACTCAGGCTTTGTCCCCACAGACTTTTCCAGAATACTTGTGTGGCACCCTCTTACACCGATATAGCTGCCTTGGGAACTGCCTGTGAGCCTTGGGACGCCATTATTCCGGTGACGTGAATCAGGACAGGGAAAAGGAGAGTGCGCGCGCGCGCGTGTGTGTGCGTGTGTGTGTGTGTGTGTGTGTGTGTGTGTGTGTGTGTGTGTGTGTGTGTATGGAAAAGGGAGGGAGAGGGAAGAGGGGTGAACTCATGCAAGAGAGCATGAAATTGGTTTTAATTTTGACTTAAAATTTTTTTGACTTTTTAACATCCCTTAATGGTAGCAATTAGTTTTCTGAGTTTTTAATTTAGACTAGTTTCTCAGGGTGATTACATGAGGCAGAAAAAACGTCCAATACTTTTCCCATAGTTCTGGTACGTCTATGCTGGGTGAAAACCTAAAATTCCTGTTTGGTGACCATGAGGCTTGAGGTGGATTTCCGAAGTGCTCACAGGCAGCTGTCACCTGGTTCACGTCTGCACCAGCATTAGCGGCCTGTGCGGACTGTGTACCTACTATGCAGTGGTGAGGATAAGGCTGTTCCTTAAGTGTAAGGCCGGGTAAACCTGAAGGTACCACCAAGTGAGACTAGCGCTTTCTCCTGTGTTTAAGGACTCTGACCCCTGTCGTTTATTCCTTATTACAGGAGCACATTATATGTATTTATGACGTAGTCAGGGGTTGAGATTGAATAAAATTAGTAATTTGTATTGCTTCATCAAGGTCACTAAAAAATTGGCTTTTTGGTTTGTTTGTTGATACTGTAAGAATGCAGAGAGGAAGAGTACGATGACTTCTTGCACTGCCTTGATACGTGCCAAGTGTCACAGAGCTCCTACCACTGCCTTTGCAACTGGGTGAAAAGGCAAATAATCGCAGTGTTACTATGAAAATAGATTGACCCCACAGCTCCGCCAGCCCCCAGTGATCAGCAGGGCACCCTGGGGAACCTCTGAGACAGCCCAGCGTTCTGGGACCAGTGAAAAGGAGTAAGACGGCACATTGAAAAGTTCCTGCCTTTGCTGACAGCGCACGGGTTGCGGGGGCTATGACACCCCACCTGGGTGGTGTGCACACGGCAGAGGTCTGGCCCCATTTAGCGCTCACCAAGGGCCTGTGCTGTAATAGTTGCTAGGCAGCATGTGTGATCAGTTAATACCCAAGAGCTGTTTTTCTCCTAAAGAGGAGACAGGCTGCAAAACCATAAATACAAAATGAAGTTTTAAATGTTTTCACCGTTGAACTCTATTTTAAGTCATCATTGTTCCTGGATGCACAAATAGCCATGGCTATTCTTTCATGACAAGGGAGGGTGAGAAAGAGTTTGGTTCCACGGGTAAGACTTGAGCTCTTTCTGAATCGATTTCCAATATCCTTCCGTGCCCCTCCGCACTGTCCACTGTGCTGACCTGCAACCAGGCTGTGGAGCCGGGGGTGGAGGGAGGCGCCCCGTCCCTTCTGTTCCTCACTTGTCAGTGACCCCACAGCCACCAGGAGGAAGCAGGCAGAGTCACCATTGTCCAGAGGGACTGTGCCCAGAAAAGAGAACAAGAGTTGTGTGGCTTGAACTTGTGTTTTCTTTCTCTCTAGTGAAGAAGTCTGCAAGCGAGGCTTCACGGTGATTGTGGACATGCGTGGGTCCAAGTGGGACTCCATTAAGCCTCTGCTGAAGATCCTGCAAGAATCCTTCCCCTGCTGCATTCATGTTGCACTGATAATCAAGCCAGACAACTTTTGGCAGAAACAGAGGACTAATTTTGGCAGTTCTAAATTTGAATTTGAGGTAACTTCCATGTGTGGCCAGACCAACTATATCCATACATGTGGTTTATTGAAAAATGACTTTTTCCTCATCATCTTAGGCTGATAATAGATTTTTAAAAAAGTTTAGTTTTAGGGAGGGGGACAGGAGGGAGAAAGAGAGGGAAAGAACTATTGCTGTGTGAGAGAGACATTGATTGGCTGCTTCTCGCATGGACCCGGCCTACGGCCCAGGCATGGGCCCCAACTGGGAATCAAACTAGCAGCCTTTCAGTTCACACTAGCCAGGGCTGATAATAGATTGTTAAAGCCATATATTAAATGGGAATTGCCTATCTTATGTACTATGTAAAATTAGTTTTTGCATGAATTGACAAAATTTAGGTTCATTTCTTGTGGTACCCTAGTAGATCATTTTACCTAGAGTGGGTTTAATTTTGGTTAACTTGGTTTTGGATGGTAGGTAAGGTTGCTGCCTCGCAGGCAGTGTATCAAATGAACTTCAACCTGTTAATTTCCTTTCTTTTCCATTATAACCTCTACCTTAAGTTACCAAGGTTCCGACAAGGCTTTGATGCAGTTAGTTTAATGAGATGATTATGGGGGAAAAGCCTCCTGGCTAGCTTGAAACTACATTAATGCCATATTCTTTAATACAATTTGAGTATTTTCTGATAATAAATTATAATAATAGATTGCTTTTGCTTCTTCTAGCAACTTTCACAAACATTAGGGTTCAGTGAATATATGCATGTATTTTAAAGTAAACAGTGTGGGGGTGCAAACAATACTTTCTTTCCCACTGTTCTAAGTTTTCTGTCTGGTCTCATTATCAGATTAGTGTGAGACAGACTAACAGAAAATGTTCAAAATTTATTACAGATGTACATGCAGTAGGGCTATAAGAAAATGTGACCCAAAGACACACTGGGCAGTTGAGGTGTATATGCCATTTTGGACGAAGGAGAAGGAGGCAGAGGTCTGGGATTTCAAAGGGAAAGCAGGGAGATGAGAAAGAGTAAACTATGGTCAACAAATTCTTGCTGGGCCACCCAGAAACAATGGGATACAGAGGGGAGTCCAACAGACAGGCTTTGCCCCATCTGTCAGTTTGAGTTTATATCATGATGCCAAGGTGATGTTCTCTTCCTTTAAGTGGGTTTTTTTCTACCTGTATTCCTTGGGGCAGGTAAAGGATGAAAGGTTCTTCCTGAGTCTATTTTTTGTTAATAACCAGCTTAAAATCAGTATCCCAAAAGACATATTTGGATGCAGCAAAACTTTGGTCCCCTTCACGGCAATTACAGTATTAAATATATCACCAAGTATTAATTTTTGAGCTTTATGTTACATGTTACACTGTTCAAAGTGTTTTCACATGTGTGTTACTTGCATTTTTTTTAAATCTCTTTCCATGGTACTGATTTTTCAGTCTGAAACCTGAATTCAGTTTTGACTTAAAACAACATTCAAAGGATTTGGTTGAAACATGGAACCAGCAAGCCTTTATATTCATATACAATTAGAAGTGATTTGGGAGGACAATTTATTGGGTCTTACTATTTTCTTCATGCAGAATTTAAAATGTGTTGTATTTAATTATACACGGTTTAAGCAGAAATAATGGTGTGGCAAAATAATGCATGCAAGTTTTTGTTTAAATTTGCTCTCTCCCTCAGGCCTTTAAGGTTATCTGTGCTGGTTTTTCTAATGAACTTGTTTGTCTCCACGGACATTATTAAAAGTCCAGGCAAATGAGACAGGGATGAACTTATAGTCACATTCTCTATAAGAAGCAGCCCCTCTTTCTAGCTCAGCTGTCCTTTGCCAGACAGCACAGCGATGCAGCTGTGGCCTTCTCTGAGGCTGGAGGTGACAGGCGGGGCTATTCTCTCTTTTGTCTTTTGGCTCTAGGCCACAAATATTCTTTCTTTACCTTTGTGTTCGCATTTAATTGCCCCCGCCCCTCATGCCTTCCTTGAGGCATAATTCCTATATTACTCCTGCAGCGCACCTGACAGGTAGGGTGAGTTTAAAATTTCCTGTTTAGGTTGTAATTGACTAAAACTTTGTCACATAGTACAGATTATGTACAACACTTGTACTGCTCAGAATCGTGGTGCATCATTGCAGTGAATGAACCGTTCTGTCTTTACCTTTGTGAAAAGAGCTTCAGCCAGCTTTCTTGCTCACCCTTGTATATTTTCTACATTAAAAAAAAGTCATTCATATCCTCTCATCTGTTACTTGATGGGAGGTGGGGCTTAGGAAAGAGGAATGATGAGGGTGGTCTGGTCATAGCAGCATCGATCAGTCACCTAATACACAGTCCACAAGTAAGTATCTTTTGTGGGAGCCGGTGCTCCAGAGGGTTGTTGAAGCCTATGAACAGGACGTTAGCCTGATTGCAGGTGGTGAGAAGCCTTGGCAGAGGTCTTTGTTGGGAGTGAGATGGCAGAGTGGCATGGACGAGGAAGGCTGCGGTGACAAAAGTGCAATTTCTGAATCGCCTGCTGTGTACTTGGCAGTTTAGCACATTTCCCGGTTAATGTGCCTAAGACAGTGTGTTAAATTCCACAGTCTTGGAAAGAAAGCAAATTTCTTTAGCTCTCATGAAATACATGAGTCTATGTGCTGCACTATGGGTTTATTTCCACTGACTCTACTATAATGTTTCTTTTATTTACATTTATTTTCATGGGGCCAGAACAAGGTGTGTTTTCTGTAAGTAGATTACTTGCTTTCTGTTTGAAACTCTGTGACTAAGCATTGCTAGTTGCTTTATGATAAGACTGTGTAGAGTAGGTTCATCTTCTCATACATATTTTTTTTCCCCCTTAAGACAAATATGGTCTCTTTAGAAGGCCTTACCAAAGTAGTTGATCCTTCTCAGCTAACTCCCGAGTTTGATGGCTGCTTGGAATACAACCATGAAGAATGGATTGAAATCAGAGTTGCTTTTGAAGATTACATTAGCAATGCAACCCACATGCTCTCTCGGCTGGAGGAACTTCAGGACATCCTAGCCAAGAAGGAGTTGCCTCAGGATTTAGACGGGGCTCGGAATATGATCGAGGAACATTCCCAGCTGAAGAAGAAGGTGATTAAGGCCCCCATAGAGGACTTGGATTTAGAGGGACAGAAGCTGCTCCAGAGGATTCAGAGCAGTGACAGCTTTCCCAAAAAGAACTCAGGGTCAGGCAATGCGGACCTGCAGAGCCTCTTACCCAAGGTGTCCGCCATGTTGGACAGGCTGCACTCGACACGGCAGCATCTGCACCAGATGTGGCATGTGAGGAAACTGAAGCTGGACCAGTGCTTTCAGCTGAGGCTGTTTGAACAGGATGCTGAGAAGGTAAAGGAGAAGGGAGAGGGATGCTAACATGAGACGTGGAGGGAAGCTTCCTGGATCATTAGGTCTCAGCAGCCAAGGCCAGTGTGGTGAAGAGAGAGGGCTGGGGCAGGGTAAGGTACTCTTGTGGCATTGATTAGAAACGGCAAGTGTCAGTTGAGGGAGCGCCCTAAATCTGCTTCTCAGTGTTACTCATTGTGCAAGTCAGTGCTATTTTAGAAACTTTGAGCTATTAATTACTGATAGCTTGGTTTAGAATGCCTGTAAGAGAGATAAGAATGATGTCTTCAGCTAAAAGAGTGAAAATTTTATAGGGTTATATTATTGAAAGCAATAATTATGTACATATATGTCTTTTGCTAATAACTGCCCTTCCACATATAAAAAGCTAGTGACAGAACACCATTCAGATCTATTATTTTTTTTTTTATAGAACGGTGAATAACTCATTAAAAATAATAGCTTCTGGGAAATACAGGCAATGATTGTTTATGGTCTCATGTGTTATTCTTGTGCTCCAGACAAACTAACTAGTCAGTGAGAATTCTTGTCAGTTCCTGGCTAACTCACTCGTAGCTGTGTGAAAACAGTGCACTTATTTATAGGAATGTGTTGCAAGCCATTAATGTGGGTGAATTGATCCCTCTTCATTTGAGCTCATTGGAATTTTTTCATGGATAGGAGAATGTTTTGTAAAGTAAAAAAACTACATTAGAAATCTTTGATATAAAAGGACCTTTTGAAAGGTGACCATCGAGTACTATTATTTGGTAAGCTTTTAACATATCTGTCAGTGTACTTACTTTAAGTACTGCTTTAAGTACTGCCTTGTCAAAGACACTAGAAAATACTTCAATTACTAGAAAAACGGCTGGCCATCTCTGGTATTCTGGTTCAAGTTATAGTAGCATTGCTCATTGATAGGCTATTTCTCTCCCCTTGAATGTTTTCCCTGTGAACAATGTGATTGAACATCCTTTTCTAGGTAGCAGCTCCATGGAACCTTAAGAAAGATGTCTTTGTTAATTTTTTCCCAATCCTTTTTTTATTTTCACAGTAAATTTCACAGTTTGCATTTTTCCCAGGCTTCTATTATACTTCTTATATTAAAGAACATGAACTTTTAGTCTTTGGAATTGCTATTGGTAATCTGAGGGCATAGCAAAACCTACCAAGAGACCATAAATCCCTAATTTTACCTAATAGGTCTTTAACTGAAGAGCAGTGTGGCCTGTTAAGTGGTTCAGCATAGCAGGGGAGCCAGGTTGAGAGTCAAAAGATTAGAGCTCTTAGTTAGCCTGAGGGATTTGAAGACCTTTGCTCCTTAATTCTTTATCTGTCAAAGGAACCCATTATGTAAGATTTTCTTATAGATCCTGCAAGTTCAGAACTGTGCTGACTTCTGAGAAGTCAATTTTCTGATCCCAGATGTCTCAGAGAGGTTATCAGAGAGAGGATGTTTGTTGCCTTTTCTGCGTTTAGCCTTGTTCCTGGGTTCGTGTCAGTCATTTCCCTTTCTGGAGTGATTCCAGGTTGTCTTTTTTGTTCTGATAGATGTTTGACTGGATCACACACAACAAGGGCCTGTTTCTGAACAGCTACACTGAGATTGGGACCAGCCATCCTCATGCAATGGAGCTTCAGACACAGCACAACCACTTTGCTATGAACTGTATGGTAAGATCCCGTCAGAATCGATGTATCCCATATGGGAAAGTATTTGAGCAAACGGGAGGCGTTTACACAGATCACATCCCAGCAGGCAGCCAGGAGGCTGTGTGTGGCCTTCAGAGTTACTGATTGGATGGTGGCAGCTGACCTCCAAGTGTGGGACATTCTCAGTGTTAGCAGTGTCTAAGTAGCTGGTTTTCAGTTTTCGGCAAACAAAAAGGAAAATGAGCCAGCAGACAAACCAGTGAACCTTGAACCAGCTACGTGGAAGTCAGTTCCTGTGCTCTACTCTTAGGAGCCTGCAGGGGCTCTGGAAAAGCCTCTTGGATGGAGGCCTAGCGCGCTCCCTGAACAGACCCTGTCAATGTGCTGGCTGTCCTTGAAGACGAAAGAATCAGCCAGCCTGCTTTTAACCTCAAAGGCATACCCTAGTTCTCCTAAGACATGAGGCTTCCTTCCAGGTTGAACTGAAGGACTGCGGTCTGGCTGTCAGCCCTGCTTGGAATCCCCTGGCCCTCTCTGAGTTTGATGCTCTGGACAGCCTCGGTCTGTTGTGGCCAGATAGGGCTCGCTGCAGGGCTGCATTGCAGAAACTGAAAAGACCCAGCAGTGAATTTTGAATAGCACTTTGGTTATGTTTTCTGCAGTTAGTAGAATTAAAAACGATGCATTGTTTTACAGGATATATGGTTGCTTCTATAGACAAGTAAGATGCTAGAAATTTCCTCTTCAAGGACAAGGAGTTTGGGGTTGGACTTTGACTAGCCTGTGAGAATTAATCACTCGTAGGCCTTGTAACATTTGTTTCAGAGCATTGAAAAAGTACATAGATGGGGTCATGATTTAAATTAATTAAGATGCCATTTAATTAAAGTTTGGTCAACTTAGTGCTTCAAATTAATTAGTTTCAATTAGCAGTTAATTCAGATTAGCAATAAAATTTTTGTAACAGATACCATCAAGACATTTGATATCTGTCCTAGAGTTTAAGGAAGAAAATCTCAGGTGTAAATCATCAAACCCGGGCCTAGTTAAGGAGAGCCGAAATGTTTGCATTTGGGGGCAGCTTCTTAGAAGAACTTCTTCCTAAAAATCCCCACCAATTTTTCAAACTAGTCTGAAACTTCAACTATTGTTGAAAAGCACAATCAGTTCACTGTATTACATATTTAAAAAACCAGAAATATTTAAATATATTTTAGCATTGTTAGTGACAGACTTAGGTATCAACTGAATGGGAAGCATAGGGTGGAACACAGGAGCGTGGGTTATGAGTACAGGGGTTTTAATTTTGACTTTCCTATCTCCTGCGTGACCTTGGGCTGGCTCCTGAACAAACTCTGAGCCTTGGCTCCCTCATCTGTGAAGTAGGAGTGATGTCTACCTTCCATGTTGTCAAAATTATTTTCTTTTTTCTGCATATATGAAAAGCTAAGCGTAGGGCTGAACACATAATAAATACTTGATAAATGATTATCACAGTCAGTAATCTCATCAATTTAATTAAGAATACTTTTAAAACAAACTGAAAAGTATGGCTTTTTCTTTTTTTCGGTTCAAGTATACTTTCTAAATTTCTACAATACATCTCTATTATGTTTCTACGTTGAAATGTTAATTAAAGGAATATGGTAGCCCTGTGCCGTGCTGGGTGATGACTGGGGTCTGCTTTCCAGGCCTGCCCTGCCCTGCCCCTTGTTCTGAACAGCTCCATGAATCCTTAGCCTTCATCTAGGACTTTTATTTATGCAGAACAAGGGCCTGTTAACCTCAGCCCTTTCTTGTATTATTCACAGCGTTTTTGAATACTTTTGAAAGAGAAAAGGAGAATACTATTGATAAATATCAATACGCCAAGTTGACAGTCTTTAAATAAAGCATATTAGGGGATACCAGTAAGTATGATCACTATACTATCACAGATTATTTTAAAAGGAGTGCTGGTAAGGATGGAGGTGTAGGTACTTGTAGGGTATTGTGCAATGTCGTATTTGAGTGTAGGTTGCTATGTGCCACTGGGTTCCTTCACCTGTGATAGAAGAAATGGAGATATGGAAGAGGTATGAGGAAATGGAGATATGCACAGAACAGTACTCTATAGTCTATGAGCATAGCCTGTTGGAGGCCATAAAAGTAAGGCAGGAAATTGTAATGGATTCTAGAGCAGTGAGTCCCCTCAGTGGGTCCCAGTGGTGAACCACCAGAATGGAGAGCTCTTGTTTGGATTCTAACAGAGGGCATCTGCTTGAACTGTTCCTACAGAGCTTTTGGGTTGATTTTCCTCTTTAAGGACGTAGAGAAAGCAAACATTAGCAGACATAGTTAACTGTCACTAAAGAGAGAGAATATGCATGTGAGCAAGGGAGGCACTGCTTTTGACTTAAAGGACACTTGTGAGAGCATTAATGCCACATGAGCCAGTGAGGCCAGTTCCCTGCTGATCGCGCCCTTGACTGGTGCTCACAGCCTCCCAGAGTGTACTCTTTCCCTGCCACTCTCCACACTCAGCCATCTGTTCACCGATTCTAGCCTGCAGATGCAGCCCAGAAAAGTATCTTGGAGGCTGAAGTCTAGTTTTCTGATGCCAGATCTAGGCAGCTCCACCTAGTTCAGGTTTGGGTCAGAAATGGAGGAAAAGTTAAGTAAAAGAAGGTGCAGGGAAAGAATGGACAAGTGAATTCTTCAGGATGCTTACTTGGGTGGACTGCAGACCAGGTAACAACCACAAGGCTTTTGCAGAGGTCTGGGTGCCAGGCAGTGGGAGACTGGCCCAAAGGACCAGTTCAGGAAGGGAAGAAGAGAGGCGAATGTAGAGGGGTTTGGACAGAGAAGGTGATGAGGTGTAGGGGGAAGACTGGGAGGAGCCAGAGTTGTGTTTATGATTTTGGGGGACCTATGGAGAACATCACAAAAAAAAAATCTTAAGTATGTGAAAAACAACAGCCTGGGTTTTGTTGAAGGAGGTGTGCTCCCACCCCAGCCTTGGTTATATCAGGACCCTCAAAAAATAGCCGAGGTGGAAAGGGAAATACCATAGTGAGAAGTTGTTTTGCAAAAAGTTCAGGGTTTTTTTTTTTTTTTTTTTTTTTTTTTTAAGCTTTGCTCCTGTATTTTTGCAATAAACTGGTGGCCCTGAAGATAGGAATTTCAACAGAGTAAAAAAGCTTGATTGAACATTTGAACACAGCATTGTTCTATGCTCCAGTTCATTTTCCTTGGAGAAAGTGGATCCATTTACAGAATATTTTCAGTTGGCACCAAAAAGATGATTTGGGATTATGTAGAAAGGAGAGCTTGTTTTCACACAAATAGCCTTGGATTGCTAAGTACACATTTAGTGGTTTAGAAACTGAAATGTTGGGTTCCTGCAGTTCTGGGTGACTGCTAGTTGGTATGTGTGCCATCTGGACCCTTTTCAGGATCAGGAGCCAAGAAGTGAGTAATAGTATATTTGTGTGCTCACACTTGTGCATTTGATTGCTCTGGCCCTAACAATAGGACTTTCAGCTAGCTGGTTTGTAATTTTGCAGTCTTAAAAACAGAAATAGGAACTAATACTTAGAATTTATGGAAATCCACGTAGCAAATATGCATACTGTTACGTAGCAGGTGATTCTGCTCTTTGAAATATGATAAGTGAATAGGTCATATTTCAGAAAATGCTCTTCATGTGTTTTAAAAGAAACCTCTTGTTTACCTTCCCTTAAGGAGCCCTCTTTTTCTGCCCCTCTCTCAGAACGTGTATGTCAACATAAACCGGATCATGTCGGTGGCCAATCGCTTGGTGGAGTCCGGCCACTACGCCTCCCAGCAGATTAAACAGATCGCGAATCAGCTGGAGCAAGAGTGGAAGGCATTTGCTGCCGCACTGGACGAGCGCAGCACCTTGCTGGACATGTCCTCCGTTTTCCACCAGAAGGCGGAGAAGGTCAGTGCCTGTCACGAGGCGGTGCCCGGAACACTGCCTCCTCCAGTGCCTCCATCCCTGCAGCCAGCGCCTTGGAGGCCTTTTGTGTGGCACCTAACAACCTGAGCTCTGAATCAGTCCGCTGCGAGTGAAACCCCCAGCAGTCTCACCCCTTGCTGGGCAATGTTACGCAAGTGATTTAGAACCCTGTGCCTTAGGGTTCTCATTGTAAGTTAGGAGTAAAAGTCTCTACTTGAGAGGAGTGTTTTATCGTGTAAATGAGATCATTCCTATCAGGTGCCCTGCACAGTGCCTGATACACACAGTGAGTACTAAGAAGTGGTAGCCGCAGTTCTTTATCCCTCTTCTCCCTCTCTTCCTGTTCTTCCTCCCTCTCTTCTTCATTGTCATCGCTTCAGGATTCTGATTAGGATGCTTTGGCAGCAAATAACAGAATGCCTGACTATTAGGTTTAAATACCAGGGCTTTGCTTTCCTCTTGAAACAAGAAGGGACAAAGGATAGGGAGGTCTGGCCTGACGACGATGCCAGATGCCAGGGCTGGGGTCAGCTGTCCTCGGTCTGTCTGACCTTCCCCCCACGGTCACAGGATGTGTGCCATAGCTCCCAGCACCAGCCCCTCAACTGTGGTGTCCAGCGAATGCAGGGCTGGCACTGAGTGTCTTCAGCCCTGACTTTTACCAGGGAAGCATTGTTGTCAGAGGGTCCCGCCGCCCCAGGGCCTTCCCCTAGTTCAGCAGTGGGGAGTGCCCACGCCCTGGCGCACGGGAGGGTGGAAGGGGCATGTCCAGCTTTTTAGGCCCCACAGCAGCAGGCAGGCTCGGCCAGCGAGGGCTGGGTGGGGGAGGGTCTGTGGGGCAGGCAGCTTTCAGTGTCTTCCACAGTTATTAAATGATTTATATGATTCTGACACATTGGCTGACGTGCTGGTCAAACTAGCTGATTTAAGAGGTCCTGTGTAATGTGTAATACATGCCGGGAATGCTCCCCACACCTCCGCAATCCCTTTCTCAAACAAACCAGCTGAAGTAAACATGCTCTGAAAGTAGCAAAAAGAAAGTGGCAAACCTCAGCGTGGAAGGGGTGCTGGACAGGGAGATTCTTTTTTAGGATGGTGACAAAGAGCACAGGAACTTTTAGCCACTGGACAGACATATGAGGAAGAGGCAAATGGTTGCCCTTTCTTAAAGGAAAAATAGTAGTACAGCTTTTTTTGTGGAAAACTATATACATAGGGATTTTCACTGATGCTTCTAAGAAGGAAATATTATCTCTTTAATCTAGAAACAGTCTCTGTTGAGGAGGGAAGTCAGTAAATGTAAGTAAGGCAGAGGCCCCGGCTTGCCTGGGCTTCGGGCAAGGCAGCTGGGATGTTGCACAAGACACTAATTAGTAGTGATCTCAACTCTAGAAACCTTTAAAGTGTGAAACGAGAGAGGAAACTGAGTGGACTAAGAAGAGAAAAAACCTTAATCACCTCATATAAAAGCTAAGCTGTGAAAAGGGACTTTCAAGTTTCAGCTGTAAGATTTTTCTGCTTACTAACCATATGCATTTAACTAGTTTTATGATAAAGGATAAGTAAAAGCTCCCACTCAAAAACAGCTCTTTTAAAGTAATAGGAACCTCCTCCTCCTTAAAATAGCACTGTCTGCAGGACTCTGTGGCCCGCTCCAGTCCCTGTCATTGTGCGACGTAGTGGTGTGCTGTTCACTGGGCCCTCCTGTGAGTGGGCAGGCGAGCCGTGTGCTGCCCGTCCATGTGTCAGCTGGAATGGTGACCCGGTGTGGGGCACAGCAGCCCCCCGGAACTGGGGCGGGGGTATAAATTGGTACTGGGCCCTCAGAAAGGTGTGTCAAGATGATATGAATAAATTTGAAGCATCACATGCCGCTTGGGTGAAAGGCAGGTAGTCTGAAGCGTAATAAGGCGTAGGGAAAAATCTCTTTCATAAACATGGCAGGATTCAGCATTGTAAATCAGCCAAAAGATTAATTGCTGCCCTGACCTGCCTGAAAATAATCTAGAAATGAGAGTGCCATGGGGCGTTTTTCCCCACCATGTTTTATTATTAAAAATTTCGTACTTGCAGCAAAGTTGAAGAAATCTGGGCTGTTTTTATTGGGATAAAATGAGTGGCTGTAAGTTATGGATTTGAAGGGAACTAAGCTAGATGACTGTATTATTGAACTGAATTTCTTGGTATCCTGTGTAAACCATAGCAGTGCTGGAGGTCTCCGTGCACATCACGTGTCCAGAGAAGAAGCCAAAGCAGAGCTTAGGGACTGAGTGGTCTGGTGAGGGAGTGGCCCGGCATCTTTGATGAACTTTGACTGAGGCAGTAAGGCCTGCCTGGGCAGCTGAGGTGTGTCCCCAGCACATTAGTGTGTCTTCAGCAAGTGTTTCCTTACCATCCAGTAAAACGACATTGTGTATCTTCCCCTTCACTGAATTAGGAAAAAGTAAGATCCTTGCAGTTCTGCTGTGTGGAAGAAGGTCACATTTACTAACATAGTTTTTTCCCCTACCCAGGAGAAGACTAGGTCAACTTTGTTCCTTTTTTTTTTTAAAGATTATATTATTTTTTTAGAGGGAGGGGAAGGGAGGGAGAAAGAGAGTGAGAGGAATAGCGATGTGTGAAATATCGATCGGTTGCCTCTCCCATGCCCCCAGCCAGGGACTGAACCTGAAATGTAGGCATGTGACCTGACGGGGAATCAAACTGGCGACTTGCAGTTTGCAGGATGGCACCCATCCCACTGAGCCACAGCAATCAGGGCTCTTCCTTCTTTATAAATGCTTTGCCTTCCAATTATGCCTAAGCTGTTTTCATAACCTCTGTAGGGAAAGGCCCAGAAACTGGGACATCATAAGTTAGGTGTCCATCATAGCCACTTCTTTGAAAGCCATCCAGAGTTCTCATTAAGAATTTGAATTTCATTACGGGGACATAGAACCGAAGTGCGTGACCCAGTGTTTAATGGCCGAACAAACGGAAGCAGCCTTCCTATCAGGACTGCAGCCCCGGCGAGGGACATGTGTGTGCTGAGCCTCCGGCCTTGGTGCTCTGTCTCTGGATATTCTGATGTTGGCATTTGCTGTGGTTTCATAAACATGAATCTTGAGGTTAAAACTAGATGAGACTGACATGGTGTAGGCATTTGCTCTCCAGAGATGTCTCGGCCATTCTTTCTCTCTCGCGGTCTCTTCTGTGGAGGTCGTGCAGAGTCAGAATGTCAGTGTGTCGCTATGGAGACATGACCTCTGGGTGAGTGACTTTATCGGTAGACAGTGTTGGAGGCTCCAGCCTTCACTTTTTTGGTCATGTGGTATAGCCACTGGATAGTCCCTTTGTATTAAGAAGTTCCCATAGCAAATGTTATTAGAATTACACTTTTATAACATAAAGAAATAAAATGACTTGCCCTGGCCGGGTAGCTCGGTTGGTTGGACTGTCACCCCATACACTGAAAGGCTGCAGATTTGATCCCTCTCATCAGGGGCCATATGGGAGGCAACGGGTCAATGTTTCTCTCTCTCATCAACGTTTCTTTCTCTTTCCCTTCTGCTCTCCCTAAAATCAACAAATGTGTCCTCAGGTGAGGATTAGAAAATAAAAAAGAAATAAAGTGACTTGATTTTACTACACCTTAAAAGCTTTCACTTTTACTATTAAAAAACATGATGTAGACTAGAGCTACACTGCCCCATGTGGTAGCCAGTCATCGCATGTAGCTATAGAAGCTCCTTCACTTTCAATAAAACATATTAATAAAATACTCTAAAGGTAGAATTACATGGAAATTCATTTCCTTAGTCACAGTATCCATGTTTCAGATGCTCAGTAGCACATGGGTAAGCACGCCGCTTACCAGGTGGCACAGACTGTACTTCCATTGCTGCAGAGAGTTCTGTCTGTACTGATGGAACTGCACCCTCAGAATGAGCCATAAATCCAGTCTCCTTTTACCTATGGCTTTAAGGGCCTCTAATTTGATAATAGCCAGAAATAAAGTAACAACTGGCATTTGCATAGTCCTTTAAAATTTGTAGCTCTTTAACACAATATCTCGTTTCTTCTTTAAATCAGGCCAGTGAAGTAAATGGGGCTCATGGCATTGTCCTTGTGTTTTATTTGGGGAGTGATTTGCCCATGGTCTCAAAGCTTGGACTTCCATTAGGTCTATGAAAATCTTTTAGTTCCTATTTCAGAAACAAGCACTTAATATTTTTATAAATATTATTCTTACAAGCACTTTAATATTCTTATAAAGTTTCACTTTACATAAAAAATTTAGAAGTAACATTTACTGTAAACATGACATAGTTATCGTCTGGCTAATTTTATCATAAGCCTGGGCTGAAATTCAGAGGAAAATAATACTCCTTTTGTATTCCCTGTTGAATTTCTAAGGCAAATAATACACATCTAATTGTTTCCATCTCAATGTTGTTTTACTTTATTAAAAGCATAGGTCTGATTCTCGGCTTTTAGTAAAACAAAATTCTCATGGAATTGGAGTATTATATGTGTCCATAAGAAAAATGTATTCATGAAGTTATTCAGGTGTAAGGTACTTAGAATGATCATTGGCCTGTTTTGGTTCACGCTGAACCTGTCTTTCTCAGCCTACTCTGTTGGAGCCATCAAAGCTGGGCTGGGCTCACAGTGGGAAAGGCCCTGTCCTTCCTGTGACTTTCCTGGGCAGAAGCAGAAGCCCATCTCCCTGCAAGTCACCAGAAAAAAGGGAGTGTGTTGGTTAAGACTAAAGGAGTAGAAATGATGAAATAAAACTTACTGTAGAACTTTCTAGAAATGAAAACAGAAAATGAGGAAATTAGAAAAGAAAGAAAAGAACCCTGAAGTTTGACATCATATATATTTTACATATAGACATAAAATTCAATCAGTCCTAATTTTTTCCAAAGAGGAAAAAATTCTTTTATTTTTTAAAACTTTACATTTTAGGAAGCTCCTGTCCCTTTGTCTCCTAATCTGAGCGAGCCACCTGTGCTCAACTGCCATTCCAGCTTGTGGTGGTGGGGGTGAGAAGTGGGTGGGGGTGAAATTCACTAGCTGTGAGGACCCCAGCTCTGGGTGGTGGGAGACAAAATGGGCCAGAGAGCCAGGCTGCTCCCAGTCGGAAGCCCCCACTCTCACTCAGCAGATGGAGAGTAGTGGAATAAATGCCTTTGAAACTCAATCTGCTAATTAATGATCCAAGCTCCTCCTTTAGAATTTATTTATTAATTACTCTACCATCATCTGTTTCCCCTATTTTGCCGTATATAATGCCAACGTTTTTGCCCAAATTTTTTGAGGGGAAAAATAAGGATGCACAGTATACATGGGTGTAACGATTACATATCATGGGTATAATAGTCCCATGTATATGTGCATTATACAGGGCAAAATAACAGTACTTCAGTTTTGCAGCCAGCTGAGCCAGACTCCCCTTATCTCCTATTCAGGCATGCTTGTAAAAAGTCACCGTTCTGCTGAGCATCTGAATCCCCAGTCCTGAAACTGGCTCTTGCTTTAATTCAAGGAGGAGCATTTAATTCTCTCGCACTCTCTTGACTTTACCCTGAGTCCAGCCAGTTGCTGGGCATTCACACATTTTGGTCTCTTGAACATTTAAAGCATCAAACACTGAACTGGCTTCTCTGACCTTGCTTGAGTCCAGAAGCCACCTTCTGTTGTCCTTTATGAAGTGTCAGGCCCTTTGCTAGACAGGTTCCCTGGTGTTGTCATCCCAAACCGAAGTTTTCAAGATGGTAACGGGGGTGCGTATGTGTGGGGGGATGGAATGTAGCACGGTGGTCAGAGAAGTTTCTAAACAACATACTAGCCCCCCCACCATATGCATATTGTGCGTTATCATTTTACATGTTTCTGAAAGGTTCGATTCTGTAGGTACCTGTTGCCCTTTGACACCAGACTTGACCCCAGCACACTTTTTCTCTGTGGAGCGCCTGTGAACAGCCTCTTGCTTGGCTCGCAATGGGACTGCTGCTCTGGTGGCACCTGCTCACGGATCCTTTGGGTGATCAGCCTTTCAGAAAGTGGTCAGAGCTGGCACTTGCCTGCAGGGATCTAGGGTTGCCATCTCATAAATAAACGGCAAAAATTATGCTTGCTCAAAAGTCCCTGCCAAACCACGGCCAGGTTCTCCCCCCTTCATTGGGATATTTTAGCCCAGTGAGTTTAGATGCACCGAAACCTTCCACAAGGTGTCCACGTGGCAAGCTGTCCTTTCCTATGTATTTAGAACGTGGTTACATTTTTTCAGCTATGTATAATTAAATACCCTCGGGATATGTTAAGAAATTATAAATAAACTACTTTTATTGCAGGCATATATAAACTTCTTGAATGTTTCTCTTTATTGCTTGCTTCAAAAATTGGAGTTGAATATGTTTTATTAATCGTTTTGATACATATTAATCTGACACCTGCTTATTGTGAAGTATTATATAACCAAAACTTGTCTTCACCTTGATACATCAGAAGAGTTTTAGCCTCTTAAGAATATGTTGTAACTCTGCTTTGTTTTGGGCTTTTTGTAGTGACCAGTGTGTAGGAGCAATTAATTACTGATTTGACCTGATGATTTATTAATGATGATAGGTAACCTCAGTCAATTCATAATTGAAATCGGTTTGTAATAACTTAGTAATTGGTGTTAAATGCAATAATCAAGTAGGAGAGAATGAAATTAAGATCAAGAATAGTTAGAATCATTCAACCTGACCTAGTTGACATTTATAGAACACTCCATCCCAGAAATACTTAAAAATATGCCCGCTTAGTCATCCCTGTATATGTGCGGAGGGGGAGAGGTGTAAAGTAATTTTATTACTACTTTCCATTGCCTTGAGAATGTTAGGCTGGCACTGTAAGGAGGGCAATGAGGATATTCCCCTGTGTGTGTGTCGGTTTAGTCACGTTTGAAGCCTTCAGAGACCACGTGCTATCAGATGACACTTCAGGCCACGCGAATTGGTTTCACCCCCTAAGATTTGCATAAAAATATTTTTTGAGCCAGTGCATTAACAATAAAATTATTTTTATAATCAGTTATTATTTGGATGAGTTGTCTAAGTTTCTCAAAATGGCGTAAGTGTTTAGGACAGGATTCTCATATATATATTTTAAGAGAATCATAGCGCATTTCCTGTGTGGCGGATCAGTGACCCTGTTTAAAATAGCCACCTTTTGCATTCCCTGGGAAGCAGAAAGACAGTAAAGAACTGGAGTAAAAGAGGTGAAACCCAGGGAAATATGTCCCTGTCTATTTGGCTTAATTGAATTAGCATCCTTAATTGGGCCTTCTGCTGCTTGTCTTTGACACTTAATGTGATGAATGCTGATAGGAACTCCCTAGGAAATTTGGCAGCAGTTTCTCAGCTATTGATGAATCCTGGAGATGTGGGGGTGGCAGTGGAGAAAATGAGGAGAGACGGGAACGGCAGGCAGCAGCCTGGTCCTGCAGCCTGCAGCGGATGCTCTCCTTGTCTGCCTGCAAAGCAGGACAGACCTGAGCGGTCTGCTCTCCCCTCGCCTGCCCTTAGACTCGGGGCACAGCCAAGGAGTCTGGGGGCCTTCTCCGTCTCCTCTTCCTCCTGTGTGCGTTTGCTTTTAAAAGGGTAGAAAAATGGGACCGTTGCTCTTCCTAATAGGAGGTAAATGATTTCAGTTATTTACCATTACCATTTATTTTATTTTATTTTTTAATTACAGTTTACGTTTAATATTATTTTATATTAGTTTCAGCTGATTAGCATAGTCATGAGACAGTCATATACTATACTAAGTGTTCCCCAAGATATTTCAAGTACCCACCTGGCTCCATATATAGTTATTACAATATCATTGACTGTATTCTCTGTGCTGTACTTTACAGCCCCGTGACTCTTTTGTAACTACCAATTTGTACTTTTTAATCCCTTCACCCTTTTCACTCAGTTCCCCGGCCCCCTTCCCTCTGGCAACCATCAGTCTGTTTTCAGTGCTTGAGTTTGTTTCAATTTTGCTTGTTCATTTATTTTGTTCTTTAGATTCCACAAATATGTGAAATCATGTGGCATTTTTTGACAGACTTATTTCACTTAGCACAATAGCCTTATATCCTCTCAGCTCATCCATACTATCGCAGATGGTAAGATTTCATTCTTATTTTGTGACCAAGTAATATTCCCTTGCATATACAGGGTGGGTGAAGAAGTAGGTTTACAGTTGTGAGGACATGAAACAAAGTTTATTCTTGCATTATTTATTAATCATTTTATTATTTTCTATATGAACAACTGTTAACCTACTTTCGCCCCACCCTGTATATACCACAGCTTTTTTATCTGCTCTTCTATTGATGGGTGCTTGGGTTGCTTCCATATCTTGGCTACTGTAAGTAACGTGGCAATGAATATAGGGGTATACATATTCTTTCAAGTTTCTCTGGATATATACCCAGAAGTGGAATGGCTGGGTCATAAGGCAGATCCACTTTTAATTTTTTGAGGAAACTCCATACGGTTTTCCACAGTGGCTATATCAGTCTGCATTCCCACCAACAGTGTGGTAGGATTCCCTTTTCTCTACAACCTTGCCAGCACTTGTTTGTTGATTTATTGATGATAGCCATTCTGACTGGTATGAGGTGGTATCTCATTGTGGTTTTAATTTGCATTTCTTATTGAACATCTTTTCACATGTTTGTTGGCCATCTGTATGTCCTCTTTGGAGAAGTGTCTATTTATATTTTCTACCCATTTTTATTAGGAGTGGGGTTTTGTTTGTTTGTTTTTACTGTTGTTTGAGTTCTTTATAAATTTTGGCTATTAGCCACTTATTGAATGTGTCATTGGCTAGTATTTTCTCCCATTCAGTAGGTTGTCTTTTTGTTGTTGTTGATGGTTTCCTTTGCTGTGCAAAAACTTTTTAGTTTGATATAGTCCCATTTATTTTTTTTCTTTTGTTTTTCTTGCCTGAGGACATATAGCACAGAAACTGTTGCTAAGAGAAATGTCAGAGATTTTGCTGCCTGTGTTTTCTTCTAGGAGTTTTGTAGTTTTGAGTCTTACATTTAAGTCTTTAATCCATTTTGAATCTATTCTTACACATAGTGTAGGAATGTGGGTAAAGTCAGTCTATTCAAGAAAGTCAAAGTGTTGGGAAAAATGGACAGATATATGCCAAAGGCAGGGGGAAGGAAGAAAGAAACCATTAGCAATTTAAAGTAAGAGGAAAGCAGGAAGGCTGTAGTACAGCTCCAGGAGACTTGCACCTTGCTGTCTTGCTGAGGCTGAGAGGGTCCTCTGTGGCCAACAGGGCAGGGCGGTTAGAAATGTGAGTTCAGACGTGAAGTGGGAAAAGTAACCAGGATGCCCAAAACAGATAATGCAGGGTAGAGCTGCTCCAGGTGTGTTCCCAGGTGTGGGCCATAGAGTCATGTGAGGTCCTTATTTCCATGTAGGTTTCTGGGCACAGCCCCAGTTCTGTCAGAACTTAAACTCAGGGGTGGAGTTGAGGAATCCAGTATGAGAACTCATAGGAAAGCCATATGAGATGGAGATTCAACCATGCTGTCTTCTTAGAATGTCTCGTCTGCCCTTATTTCAAAACCACATAAAAAAATTGCTCCTTTTCACTATGCATTGCCATTGATAGAGAATCTTTTTTTTCTTTTAACTTTCCAAGTACATGAGTAACGTGGACTCGTGGTGCAAAGCCTGCGGTGAGGTAGACCTCCCTTCGGAGCTGCAGGATCTGGAGGACGCCATTCATCACCACCAGGGAATATACGAGCACATCACTCTGGCATATTCCGAGGTGAGCAGTCAGTTCGACTTCAGCTGCAGAGCAACAGTATTTTTGTATCACAGCATGAACACTGGGGAAAAAAAAACCAAACCCCAAACCCTGGCTCATATGGCTTAGTGGATTGAGCACCGGACTGCAAAGCAAAGGGTCACCAGTTCGATCCCCAGTCAGGGCACATGCCCGGGTTGTGGGCCAGGTCCCCAGTGGGGGGTGCATGAGAGGCAGCCACACATGATGTTTTTCTCCCTCCCTTCCCCTCTCTCTAAAAATAAATAAATAAAATCTTAAAAAAACACCCCGAAATTTTGGCTAGCTTAGAAAAAAAAATTTTTATTTTTTAGTGGAAACTACAATTTCATTATAACTTTTTAACTTGAGTAGGGGATGAAAGCTAGTAAGGAAAAGAGGGTGGTGGGCTGTGAGCAAATGTTTCATGGCCCTGCAACACGTGTGGATTTCCTTTAGAGGGCTTAGATTTTCATCTGCTAACATAAATGAAATTCCAGTCTTCTTGTCTACATGCATTTAGGAAATAAACATTTATGTGCTAGTCCATCTAGTCAAACTCCATTTAATCTTCCTGAATGAAACGTTCTGGAAAAGAGGCAAACCCGACACAGCTTCATGTTCTGGATTGCAAAGCACACACTGTGCTTTTTGCAAGTATGTAAAGCTGCTCACTGTTTTAGAAATCTCAGTGTACTGTTTTCTTTATTCTTTTAGGGTAAATTATTTAATATGATTTAGTACTCTATTTTCTGCCACCTTCTTGTGTGCCAGGCTTGGTTGTAAGGACTGTATGTAATAGGTTATTTAAAGCTCACAACTCTGGGGCTTGTGGTATTATCAACTCTGCTATTACAGATGAGGGAACCGAGGCTCAGCGATGAGGTGACTTGTGCCAGGTCAAGAGCTGTAGGAGGTGGAGCCAGAATGTGTATGCCAGCAGGCTGGTGTCACGTTCCGAGCTGCCCTGGTGGCGTATTGTGTGCTCTGCACAGTGATGATGACAGCTACAGAAAGGGCGAGTGTGTCACTCTCGCTCACATCTTGGTTGTCTGGCCCTCAGGCTAGCCTGCCTTCCTGACACAGGTTAATTCCTGGAGGTCAGTGGGAGTGCTTTGGAATTCCATGCGTTCTTGCTTTCCCCAAAGGCTTTCTCTTCCCCATTCTCCTTTAATAATGAGCATCTTTAATACTGTGTATGCTAATGGGAAAGATTAGTGGGAGACTTCAATGAGAAAATGTTTCCAACTCACCGGCAGAAGGCGGGGCACAGAGTAGATGTTTATTAAATCTTTAAATCCAAATCTTCCTTGATGTGAACTGCATCCACTGCAAAAGTTGTGGGGAAGAAACTGGCCATTTGCTTTTCAGTCTGGCCCTTTCCGCATCCCCAGGCAGCTGTCCCTACCTGACCCCTGAGTGCCCAAGGATGAACTAAAGATGTCTGATGCACCATGACGCTTGGCTTTGGAATGTGGTAAAACCTCCTTCCCATGAAGGTGATATCTACATGTTTGTTTCTCTAGTCACCTTTTTGCCTAACAAGATCCCTTTATCTTTTCTAGCACTATTTTATATTGTCCGTGGAAATAAAGAATAGTCACCTCTATAATATGCTTCTGAATTTTGCATCCAGTGTTTATTAACTAGTTTGATTATCTAGTTTAATAGGAACTACATAAATAAGTGATAGCCAACCTTTTTTATAGTAAAAATAAAAATTGAACAGATCTGTGATTTTTGTATTGCACTGATTCATGAAGAGTTTGTGAGTTCCAAAAACATTCAGTTTCCCCAAGTGTATCATCTCTGTGCATCATCTGATTTCGGCCTGTGATACAGAAGATGAATGACCTTGTGATCCACGGTGGGACTAGGCCTTCACTTATCTACCTGCCAGCATCAGCCCCAGGATCTGCCCTTTGATTGCCTCGCAGGTTCCAGCCCACTGTGGGGTTGGGGAGTTCTCAAGGGGGCTGGCAGGAGCTGGGCTGCTGTCTTTGCCTGCATGACCTGCCTAGAATCCACATGGCCTGACCGGCTCTGGCCCAGCTGGCTGGTTCAGTCTGCCAGAAGCCCTGGGTTCTTCTCGCAAAGTACAGAATTTTCTCACTGTTACAGCTGCATTCTATAAAAATGGGGCATCTTGACATGGAAACATGTTTACCGGTGGTGCAGATTCATTAGATTTTAAATTGATACTCAGACTTTGATGGCAGGTAGACAGCTTCCTAGGCTGGGATCTTAAACCACAATTTTTAGTCCTTGGGCTATACACTCAGGGAGACAATAATTTGAACTAGATGCATAGAAAAGACTTTCAGTAGAACAGAATGAAAATTTTTTTTTTTTTTTGCCTCTTAAACTATTTAAATTTTGAAGTGGTTTCAAGGCTCTGCAAGTGCTAGAACAGAACAGAAGTGCTCCCACACTCCCTTGACCCAGAGTGCCCAGTTTCACATTTGCTTCCCCCTCTCCCTCCCTCCATCTCTCTTCAGTCGGCACATCCACATTGACACAACACGGCATCCTGCCTACGGACCCATTCATAATTCCCACTTTTCCAGCTACGTCTCTGTCTCTTTTCTGGCCCTGGATGGCACCCATCAGTATGCATTACAGTAGTGGACACGTCTCCTTCCTAGCGTAACGGTCTTTAGTCTGGTCCTGCCTCGTGTCTTTGACAGTCTTAGAGAACACAGGCCTTTACGTTTCGTTCTGTAGGTAGGACGATCCTCAGCCTCCCTCCCCATTCACTTTTTCTCAGGGGCTGACGGGGGCGTGACAGCAGGGTCCCAGGGTGCAGACCCATCCTCTGATGGGTGATGTTCACCGTGACCGCTTGACAAGGTTGGTGTCTGCAGTGGAAGATCGCCATCGGAAAATCTTTGATGAGCGAGCATTTTGTGAAGAAATACACTGATAGAACTGTACCAGTTCCTCATCAGATTCCTCCTTGTGGCTTTAGCATCCACTGACAAGTCCTGCCCGTGTCAGTTGCCACTGTAACAGCTGTGTGATGATGAGCACTTAGTTTCCATCATTTGTTCTGTGTTTACTGGGTGGCCTTTTCTATCATAAGGAAGAGCTCTCTTTTCTTATTCATTCATTCATTTTATTTCAGTATGGATTTACAAAAATCTTTTTATATTCAACAGGTTATAATCCAGTAGTTTTGAGGCCCAAATTATCCACACTTGGCTAGCAGGAACCCCTTTTTGTGTTTTTTCCTCTATATAGTCTTATCATTATTTGAGCATTACTTTCTACCATAACAAGAGATTGCCAGATTCATCCTGTCCTTCCCCTGCCTCATCCCTGAGATCAACCATCTCACCAAGATGTTTATGGTTCCTAGTGCTGCTGTGTGGAATTTAGGAAGTTAAGATCTGGGTGCTTGAGAGGGCTTATTTACTTGGTGGGTGTCAGTGCTGCTTGGTCCTCTGACAGAGTCAGCAAACACATATGTGGATATCCCTCCCTCCCTCCCTCCCTCCCTCCCTTCCTTCCTTCCATCTGTTCATCCACATACATCTACAGCTATTGCTGTATCTATCTGTGTCTATCTCTGTTTTAAAACTGGTACTTCCATTTCTCATTTACTACCTCAGGGTTCTTTCCAGCTTTTCCCATTTTGTTTATATATTCCTTTTCAGACAACAACAAAACTGGCTCCCTTTATGCTCACTATATTAACTCATTTGTTTAATTAGTGTATTTGCTCAACCTCCCAACCTTTCTGCCCGGCCCCTCTGAGTGACGCCCCCCATCACTTTCTTAGAACGTCTGGCACCTCCACCCCTCCCTGCCTCAGACCCTGGCATCATTTTCTCCCTGCCAGGAGGGGAGAGGAAGAAAGATGGAAGGGAAGGTCTACTTGTGGTTTCTACATGATTTTTTTCTCTCCTAAATCAGGGGTTTTCTGACTTGGGTGTGTGAGTGAAAAGCACAGCTTCTCCTACTCCCCCCCCTCCCCCCGCCCCCGCCATGAATCGCCATTTCCAGTGAGTCTCCCTCAGTGGTTGCGTGACGGACACTGATGCTTCATGGCCACACGCCAAGGCACGCGCCTTCCTCGCTACTGCAGGGTTGTGGGCTGCCCAGGGGACACTCACCCCAGAAAGGTCCCTGTGCTCCTGCTGTGGATGCAGGGTCATCTCTGAGTAGGAATTTTGCAAGCAAGACTTGCCCTTTCTTTTTCTTTTCTCTTCTCTCCTCCCTCCAGCCCACAATTTTCCTCTTTCAACAGTGCCTATAGTTTCCAGGCTCTGACGATACAAGTTTGCAGTGGGAAACATTCCCACCACTTTTTTCCAAGACCCAAACACCTGCTTTTCTCTGTTTTAATTAGACCTGCCCCACGTTGTTCCTGTTTGTCTTTTAGCAACAGGAGCGTACCTGTGCCTCATAAACATTCGCCTGCTTCAGCTTGCCAGGTTAGGGGTCATGTCTGATGTAGCTGATCACAGGAGAGTGAAACAATGTAAAAGTCAGAAACAGCATGCAGAGTGGTTATTTTTAACATTTTACTTTAAGCGAGCAAACTCATCAACTACTTTTTTCAACAGACTAAATTCATACAAATGATTGTTATCTCAGTACACCCCTGCCATCCTGTAAACCTAAACCTCAAGTGTTTGGATTGTGAGGTAAGACTGTGTGTATGGAGTGCAGGCACCTGCCGGAGATCCTGGCCGCTCCAGCCATGGGTGGCAGTTCTTGGAGGAGAAAGGGAGAGCTCCGCATGGGCTTTGGCCTGTGCTGATTCATTGTGACTCCAGGGTTTAGTTTCTGCATCGGTTTTTTTCTTGATTTAACAAATGTGCTGACTTACTGCGCACTCCAGCAGGGCCTTGTGGAAGTGACTGATTTGCTGCCTGCAAAGCTGGTCAGGCTCTTTCTTCTAAGACACTGGGTAAATGGGGGATGGCATGACCTGTGTTATTAGCATTGAATAAAAACAAACAGTACAATGAGTCATCTGGATAGTGAATGTACTAAAA